CTACTGGGCTGGTCATGGTGCTTGGGGTGGACCTTGGGCCGGTCATGGTGCCTGGGCTGGTAATGGTGCTTGGGCTGGGCCATGGGCTGGTCCCGCTGCTGTCGATGTTAGCGGTGCTTGGGGTCATGGTTATGGTGCATGGGGCGGCTATCCCGGTATCTCCCTAAGCCAAGGACCTGGTTTGGCTCATGGTGCTCATGGACCCGGTGTATACGTTGCCAAGACTCGTGGTGCTGTTCACACCGCTCCTTTGGCTGGTCATCTTAACTCTGCCACTTCTGTGAATGTGGCTCCTGCTCCTGGTACACATTAAATCATCTATCTCGAACTGCTGACAAAATATTATCGGATGACAACAAACTTATTTCAAAGGAGTTCTGTGAAACATTCTTCAAACAGCAAATAACCAAAATAAATTAGCACACACAAAATTCCCCTTTCCCCTACAAAAATTTAAGCCAGGATTACAAATACTCTTATTCCCCCGTATATCACAATGCATAAAACGAAAAAATAAATAAAAAAATTAAACAATTATTATTAGTCTATTCATTTTGTACAAAATATTATGTAAATCAATTTAAAGCAAATATCAATCGGACATCCGTTATTTATTTGGATGAATATCTGATAAACTTGAGGAGTTTGGTGCACCTATATCTAAATCTGAACCGATTCCAGCGAGACTTGACAGAGATTAATTTATATTAACTAAACGATTTCCACGAAACTTAGCACACATAATTCTAGACTAATTTCAGTACGTAGTGCCAAATTTTGTGCAAATCGAAAAATATATAGGGACTTTGGTACACCATTTACCTTAAATCGGACGAAAATATATATAGGAGCTACATCCAAATCTGAACACATCATTCTAGACTTTATTCAGTACGCCATGCCAAATTTCATGCAAATCGAAAGATATATATATATATATATATATATATATCTAAATTTGAACTGATTTTTACGAAACTTAACACACATCATCCTAGACATTATTCAGTACGCAAAATATTGGTACACCATTTACCTTAAATCCCAAATAAACCGCCAACACTACTGAAATATGGGAGCTATATCTAAATATGAACCGATTTTTCCAAATTTCAAAATTTCCAAATAAATGACCTAAACAAATTTTCATCCAATTCGGATCATAAATGCGACCTGTACTTTGTTTACAATTTAGACGACTTAAAAACTGATTCTATGCATATTCTCAAAAGGAACCATGTATCTATCTCGTTTCCTTTTGCCTTTTACAAACCTATGAACATAGACATAATATCCTGTACGACAGTGTGGTGAAGGGTATAAATATCAACTGTTGGGAATCTGCCCAACCCGTTGGATGATGAAATCGAAATTGACCTCATCGATCTCGATAAATAATTTATCGATGAGGTCCCATCTCCACCAACACAAAACGTCACTCTTCTTCTTGAAGTTTACGAAAGCCAGTGGATCGCCAGATCAAAATAATATTGAATTAATTATTTCAACAATTTGAATTTAATAAAAAAGACCGACAGTGTCATATTTTGAATATTGAATTAAATTGTTTTGAAGTGTGTTTAATTTGCAGTCAACAAAACGTAAGTATCGTCTGAATACTCGTTGTGTTGTTGTAGTTGCAAATTTATATTGTTGTACGTCTTGTTCAACAATAACTCAGTAGATTTAGAATCACTACAAGTCCTTTCGACTGCATCGGAACTTGTACATCAACAATAATTGTTGTTATATGATGTTTAGATTGAAATACTGATACGTTTTATGATATGCCTACACATGAAATATGCAGCTAAATAAAAGTTAACAACATTCCAAAATAAAGCACACAAACGCAGAACAAAAATTCACTCAGTGAGTGGTCCAACTATTCATAAATTATCCACTGCCCTTTCAAACCACATTAATTATAACGAAAAACAAATCCGGATTTAAAATTCAATTGGAAATTGCATTGCCAGTCGTTGGTAGTATATTGAAATTTTTAGTGGAATTTTCAAAATACATATCCGCAAAAATTCCCACTTAATTGTGCGTCATGCTTATGGTCTTAATTAAATCAAAAACAAAGACAAATCCGCAAAATAAACATTTGTTCTTCCTACACTTATTGTTGAAACAATTTTTTAAATACCCTACTGACTGCTTGAGTACCTAATATTATTTTAAAGAATGTCCGAGGGTATTCCTGTTGTCGAGGGAAATTCTTTAATAACAGTTATTGTATACCAAATATTGGTAGATGCAAATACATTCTGGGTTACAAGATATTATTTAATAACTTTTTTTTTGTTTTTGCAACAAAATGCCTTGTTAACCTCGAAGTGAGGCTCCAGCGAAATTCTAATGCAGTTTATGTCGTTGGTCAGCTAAGTACTTCGCTTTGTTACAAGAGACATTTGGGTATGAAAGGTTTCTTGTATAGAAGCAATAGCTTCTGGGGAGAATATCCTAACAAAAAACTAAGGGAACTGATGAGGATCAGTGGCGTGATCCGAAACTATAGTCTTCCCCGCCTTACCCCTCGGCAAACAATGGCATACATTCCCCACTAATAAATAGTTGTTTTTTATAAAAACAACAAACTGGGATTCAGCCTGACTATTTTGCAAAAGCAAAATACAAATGGTATCCCAAATAAACCGCCAACACTACTGATTATTTAATAACAATTTTTTCTCTCTACGTCCGCAACTTTGGTATGGTATCCCACAATCAGTCATGGTACACTTTTAAGAAGGGCGGGAGTGTGGGAGTATTCAAAACGTGTTCACCTTATCACCGCAATTGTTATCGGATTTTGGCATTTGATTTTCTATTATTATTACTTTTTTGTTTAAATTGCGATTGTTTGCTGGCCCAACATATGCAAAAATAGTTGTCGTAGCACTTGTTACCACTATCGAACACACACTTATTGTGGCAGCACTTGTTTTCTACTTAAAATCTGATAAGAATTGTCGGTATTTCAGGTAGACACTTTTATTGGCTTAATGTAAAAAATAACCTGAATCAAAGTGTTCTTTTTTTGCAATTGTTTGTCAAGTGGCATGTTTTGGTGCTTGTTTGCATTGACAATTGTCACAGTTGGCAATTGCTAACCATTGTATGTTTGTTTATTAACTTTTTTAACATACCGCATTTTTCGTTAAAATAGTTCTATAGACTATTTAGTTTATTGAAAAATAAATAATAATTAAATTTGTGTATGGAAAAAAAGCATTTTTGTAAATGAGCCACACTTTTTTTTTAATTTTTATTAAAATAAAACAAAATAGAAATGGGACAAATAATTTTTATACCGTCCACCTTAGTATGGAAGGTATTTTAATTTTGTTTTTCCGTTTGCAACTAATCAAAATAATAATCATTTCCGACCCAATAAAGTGTATATTTCATTTTTAAGGGAAACTCCACACAACTACTCTGTATGCCCTCAGACGTAAGGTGGACTGTACATTTAATTTATAATTCCATTTGCAAACTTTGAAATATTCCAAATTATACGTGTCCGTCTATTTGTCCGTCAGTTGAAATCGCGATAGAGATATTGTATAGACACTGGGATTGGTTGGGGAACCATATAACGGTACCCCCAATATTCGGTATTTAGGCGATTTTCGACACGTGTTTCAACCGAATTGGCTGTAATTTGGTACCAAATATTACACTGTGCGACACGAAAATTATTCAGGGGTTCTAATGTACTAATTGTGTTTAGTTGGAGTCCCTGGACCACGAAAATACCTTTGGTTTTTCTGGGTCACTTCGAAAATTAGTTTTATAACGGTAAATGTAGGGAAAATCGTGGTTTTATAGATTGGCAATTTGAAACGCGAATAACTTCTTTAATTTCTAACGGATTTATATTATACTTGAAAAAATACGCATAAAAATACAAAATTTATTTTTCCTCGGACTGTACGAAGAAAATGATATCAAGCCGTATAGGTTTTATTATATTACGGGGAAGAAAATTAAATAAGCTTTCGAAAATGAGAAAAATCGGTTGAAAAATGGACGACTTATACACATTTTTGTATTATAACATTTTTGTTATAATCTTCACCACACTTTGGTGCAGTGTGCTATGTCTTTGTACATATTTATGTAACAGGCAAAGGAAACAGAAATAGACTCATAGTTCCTTTTGAGAATAGTGGAAGTGATGCAAATATGGTATAGGTTGGTAATGTGGTATAGTCACTTTTTTTGTAAACTGAAAATTTTAGAATAACTGAAACATGTTCTATAGTTTGCTGTTCTCAAAAAAAATAAGATAGCAATGACCTGTTAAATTTATTTAAATCACGTTGAGAATCAGTACCAAAAATAAAATTTTTCATGAAATTGACCTTTTTTCGGTTGAAGTTTAAAAATAATTTTTTGTTTTACGGATGTAATTTAATCGTTATTACTAAAGCATTAAAATAATTAGTATGAACTAAAAATCAAATAATATGCGCGATTGCACCACAAAATCACCAATTTAGGAAAAAAACTAGACATTTATTCAGTAAACACAAGTGTAGGTAATGTGGTATACCTTGATTCTGCATGAAAAAAGGCCAGAACTAGACAAAATCTCATTACTATGTGAAACATTCGTACTTTACGAGAGTCTACCATGAATCACAAGGATGAAAAACAAAGGCTATGAGTTTTAACAACTTCTCCATACAAAAATTAGATATTGCCATGTGTAGAAATTATTATAGAATAAAAATTAAAGTTGCACTCAACGTATCCGTTAAAAATCTTAACAGACATAAATCTCGAGCTAATTCGCATTCATTAAAAGCAATAAATTATAAAAGATATCAATTAGAAGTGAAAATTATACTATACCACATTAACATCATGTGGTATACCACATTACCTGCACTTTTTTAAAAATCACTTTTTATGGGATTTCAAATATTTTCTCAAATATCTCTTAAATTGTTAGAATAATATTATTTTCAAACTGATACATGGAAAGACAACACATGTAGCATTTTAAGTGCAAAATTTCAATTTAATCGGATAAAAAATAAAAATTTGGCAATCTAAAAACAAATGGGTATACCACATTTGCATCACCTCCTACATGCATAAAATCAATACAAAAATGTATATTTTCGAAAGCCCCGTAATATAATAAAACTTATACGATTTTAACAAAACCTTGCAGACATCAGTCTGGACCTAATTCAGTACTCTGTGGAAAAACTCTATATGGAGCTATATCTAAATCTGAACCAACAAAACTTCGAATACATAAGTATGAACCTGATTCAGTGCGCTGTGCAACAT